GGACGACCTGTCCAAAGTGTCGGACGAGGAGCTCCTGCAGTGGAGCAAGGAGGAGCTGATCCGCAGCTTGCGGCGCGCCGAGGCCGAGAAGGTGAGCGCCATGCTCGACCACAGCAACCTCATCCGCGAGGTCAACCGCCGCCTACAGCTGCACCTAGGCGAGATCCGCGGCCTCAAGGTGAGCGAGCGGGGCTTCCGGGGGCCGTGCGCGCCGGGCCCACTTCCCACCCTCAAGCCACAGGTGGTCCTCCCGGCCGCCACCCCCTGCCCTCCCCACGCCCCCCGCCGCGTGAAAACTTTTCCAAACTTTGGAGACGTCTGGGTCCCCGACTCTTCCCCCACCAGGTCCTCGGTAGCTAGAGGAGTGAGCGCTGGGGCTCCTGAAAAAGGTGCTGAGCTCCCAGAACGATTGACTTTCTCAGGGAACCCAGATAACCAGTGCTTTGGGAGGCGGACTGCGCTTAACCAAGGGCAGAGCCAGGAGCGAGCAGAGAGCGCCGCTGCCTTTAGGATACAGGCCACTCTGGCGCCACCAGCGCTCGGGTGCGCAGAGGGCATGGAAAGGGCGCTGCCGCTATTGGAGAGGGACTGGCCGGCGCCCAGGGCGAAGCTGCGGTGTCACCTGGTGCAGCGGATCACACGCTCCACCTTCGTTTCTACCTGTCCCTGCGCTTTGCTTCATCTCGGGTACAGATGGCGCCGTTTGGGGTTGCTTTACCCTCAGTTTACTCCAGTTTGATTCTTTCAGTTTCGTCCAGAATGATCTGGCAGGGGGTGCCAGGGGACTCTCTACGGGAAGCGCAGGGCTTTTTGAAGAGGGTCCTCCAAATGTGGAAGGCGATGCTTTCCTTTTGCTCATCTTCGCTCTTAGGCAGGAGGGGTGGGATTAAAAGCCCACCAACTTTAGTTTCTCCTTCTTGGAGGGCTTTGAGAGGGAAGCCGTGCGCCAGGTCGGGGCGCCGCAGACCGGTGGCCAGCGGCCGGGAACCGCCCTGCCTTGCACCACCAACTTCCTCTCCTCCGGACTTGCGATGGTGCCTCGCTGTATTCCTTCCTCTCATTGTTCCAGGCTTTTGTTTATAGGAAGCCAGATGCAATCTAAATCACAGCAGGCCCCCAGGGGGGTAAAATTAAAATCCCAAGGGGCACATGCCTGCATTGCAAACCCACGCCTGCTTCTCAGATCTTGGCCCTCCCCAAATACTTCGGGGCTTCAGCTCTGGGAATGTGGAGGAAAGAGTGGATGCTTGGTGCTCACCCAGGAGCTGGGCTCAGCCCAGTGGAAATGACGGTCCCCGGAGGCTCAAATCAACAGACTCCACCGAGTGGGGAGACTTTGAGAAATCCCAAGACTTGCTCTTTTCATTGGTGCAATTCATTACTAGCCAAGTATTCACGGAGGACCAGGCTCATGAGGAACCGAGGCAGCCAGCCTCTCACCTCATCGCCTCCAGGTGGGAACCCACTCCCAGCTGCCTCTGCAGCAGGTTTTCAGCGGCTGGGACTTCTCCCACAGAGCAGCTGGTGGTTTGCTATGACAGCACCACTCCTCACCCCCAGGCCACCAGAACTCCCCAGAGGCAAGTTGTTTTCCTTGCTGCGTGTTCCAGGGATAACCTACCCTGCCACTGGTTTGCAGAGGTGGTAAATTGCACGGGAGGAGATTGTCCATCTTTCTCCAGCTGAGCAGCTGGCGGACTTGCAGCCTTTGGGATTGCAGTGCAGCTTCTTACCACTAGCGCCTGGGCTGGACTCTTCATTCACTGGAGGGTGTGTGGGGGTAGGGATGGAGTGAGCATGACTGATTTCTTTCTCCAAGTCTCATTGTGTTATTTATTCATCCATAATACATAGAGAAGAATAACCATTTCCTAGAATGTTGTATTTGTCTTTTTCTGAAGAGGGTGAAGCCAGGTTGCTCCTTGAAGGCAGGGATTTGGAAGATCTGTTTGATGTATTTTGGACATGTTACCAGGAGGTACCAGTCCTGGGAGAGGGATATCATGCTTGGAAGGGTGAAGGGACAGCACAGGAGAGGAAGACCCTTGGTGAGGTGGATTGACTCTGTGATTGGGGTAATGGGAGTGGGTGTGTTGGAGATGATGAGGTTGGCACGGGCTGCAGCGGGGTTCAGAGTTGTTGTACACAGGGTTGCTGTGACTTGCAGGTGATTCATTGGCACATAACAACAACAACAGGATGTTGTGGCACAGGCTGTGACAATGCACGCAGGGTTTAACACTGGAACAAGCCATAAATGGTAGTCACGATCATTAGGGGAGGGAATGGAGGATATGCCAAGGTCTCGTTTCTAGGCAAAGGTACATATGATATTAAATGCATCTAAGGAGCATAAGAGGACTTGAGAAAGTTTTTTTCTTTCCTCTCTTTCAACCTTGTTTGTTGTTATTGTTAAGTGCTGTGGAGTCATAGACAACTCATAGTGATCCTATGAACGAAAGACCTGAGCACTCGTATAACTTTCATTGTTTCTCCACAGTCATAGAGTTTTGGAAGTGGCTGCCACTAAGCTTCAGCAAACGCTGTCCACCATGGGGAACCATTATCACATTTGGCACATCAGTGTCACAGTGTTCAGCATCCCAGCAACCACGAGTCACCTCTGTACAGCAAATGGACAGACCAGTGCTCTACCACTTAGAGGAATGTTTGACCAAACCCAATTTAACTCATAGGCCCAAATGCCTTTTAAAATAGGAGGCCGAATACAATCAATTCATTCCCAACGGCTAGTAAACATTGTACCTTAAGTCTCACCTGAAAAAGAGATCAACCCTCTGTAGAAACAGGCTGCTCCAGACCCCACATGTGCTTCCCCACATGGAAGCCAGCCCATACAGCTGACTGATACCTTTTTAAACAGGAGGCCAAATACAATCACTTCACTCTCAGTACTTTAATAATGTGGGACAACAGTGCCTGGGGATTGTTGTATGTTTGGATTGGGGAGGGGGAATGAAAGACAGATGGCAAGAGCAAGAGAGTGAGCAAATGAAGGATGGTCGGGCATTTGGGGTACCCAGCTTTCACTTCATTGGCTCCCTAAAGAAATATGCCATATTAAGCCAGTTAAGGTAACTGTGCCCCATATAGAAAAGCCTCTTTGTGGTCTAGTTGTTGTTGTTGTTACACGCTGTCAAGTGAGAGCCAAGACCCTCCTGTAGATCTTCGGAGGCTGTAAATGGCCCAGGAGGAAGAGTACCAGTCATTTGCTCATCTTTCTGGAGCAGCTGATGGATTTGAAGAGCCTGCCTTGAGCTTGGTAGTGCAGCTCCTTACCCACTAGGCCACCAGAGCTCCCAAAGGTCTAGATTCAAGCCTGGGAATTGGAACATTTTCCACTCCACCTTCTTTTAAAGCTCAGAAGTGATACAGCCTGGTATCTTTCAGGCACAGCCTCTGTTTCTCCTTCTGGGGTGGGGGGGAAGACTCTTTTTTTTACAGGCCCCAATTCTCTGGACAGCTACAGGGTGGAAGCCTCCAAGCTGGGCTTGGACAAGCTCTTCCTAGTTCAGCCATGGCAGTCAAAGAGGAACCAGAACCACACAAATTTGTAGACTGTGATGTGCTGGAAAAGAACTGAAATGAGAAGAATTAGAGGTCACTGTGCTGCACTGCTGGAAACTGAATTTCCTTCAAGGACTACCTGCCGGCTGAATGGCAACCAAAGCTCTTGAACAGCATAGTCATAAATAACTGAGCCCGGCTCAAAGATGACAGACACTGAGACCACATTGTTTTGAATGCATATCATTCTCTATGGTCCTGGCAAGAGTCAGCTATCACAGTAGACTTCTAAAGGGCCTTGCTGTGGCTTTTCTAAGCTTTCTGCTCCAGAGCTTTGAACTGGACTATCAGTTACCACTCTACTCCAGTATACACCCATTTGATAAATGTGGGTGTGCTCTCATTTACCTGTTTTGGCCATGATGGAACCAGTTCACACTGCTTTGAAGCCTGCCTCCAAGACCTCTGGGAAGCCAGCCCTCTCTCCTTTATTTGGCTCAGAGCTTCCCTGGACACTATAGACCCATGGTCATTCAGTTAATTTGGACTCACAGAGTCCCTGTAGGACAGAGCCAGTTTGCCCCATAGGGTTTCCAAGTCCACGGGAAAGCTTATAAAGATTCAATGACATGATTCCTGTTCGTGTTGTTGTTAGGTGCTGGTACATCAGATATGACTCAGCGATTCTAGGAACAGCCAGCCAGATCTGTCCTGTCCTGTGCCGTCCTCATCAGGTCCGACACACTAGGGTACATCGCTAAAGTCACTGTGTCAGTGCATCTCATTGCGGGTCTTTCTCTCCTTCACTGACCCTTCATCTTCCCAAGCATGATGTCCCTCTCCAAGGAATAGTTTCTCTGCCTCGCTCCACGTCCAAAATAAGAAAGATGAAGCTTTGTCATCCTTGCCTCCAAGATGCACTGTAGCTGCACCCTTTCAGGAACATAGCTGTATGTTCTTTTGGAAGTCCATAGGATATTCAGTACTCTCCTCCAGCACCACAACTCAAAGGCATCCATTCTTCTTCTGTCAGCCTTATTCATTGTCCAGCTCTCTGATGTGTAGCACATAGTCGAGAAGACTAAGGCCTGAATCAGGTGCACTTTAGTCTTCAAACTGACATCATTGCTCATAGGATTGTCAAAGGAACAAACAGCTGTGCTTTGGAGAAAGTGCAGCCAGAGTGCACCTTGGGAGGAAGGACGGCGAAGCTTCCTCTCACATGCTTTGGGCATGCTGCTAGGAGAGGCTTGTCCTTGGAGAGGGATGTCACACTTAGAAAGGTGGAGGGTCAGTGTAAGAAAGGACACTGTGACAGAGGCAGTGAGCTCAAGTGTGTCAGAGATGATGAGGGCGGCACAGCTTGGGCCGGGGTTCACGTCTGTTCACGGGGTTGCTACATGTAACTACAATGACAGCACAGGAGATGGTTTGCCACGGTACCTGCCGCAGTGGGTTTGAGCACAGAAGAGCTGATGAGGATGGTGCAGGGTATTGCCAAGTCCTCATTCGGTGTTCTTAGGGTCACTGAGTTAGGGGTGATGTCACAATGTCATCCTAATCCTAAGTTGTTGTTGTTGTTGTCTTCAAGTTGACTCATAACGACACTATGAACAAAAGGCCTGAAGCCCCTCTACCTCTATCAACAGT